ATCTGAGCGGCAATTAGCGCCTCCACTGATCTCGAATAGCACATGAAACGTGCACGAAACATGCTTACCTTGATAAATTAGAACAGGCTATGTTGGGATCAGCTTAAAACATCGTTTTGACATTATCAAGTCATACCATCTGCATTTCACAAGTCTAGTTTTCTGAAATCCAACGCTTGATAGAGTAGCTATGCGATTACCACAATGCTGGCTAGCCGCACGCTATTCAAGGCTGAAAGCTAAACTGCACTGAGGTGTTATAAATAAATTTGTCACGCTACTTGACTCAAATACGTTTTCCGATTGGAGGAGAACGTGTCGCTCACCATGGGTCGAAATTCACTCCGTTGGGAAACAATTCCTTGAACTTTCGACTCGCATTTGATCAACTCGTGCAACTTGAACCGAACCCGCTGCAAGTTCTTTAAAGTAGAGAAAAAATCGAATTCCCATTCAATTAAAAGAAAAACATGCTCAGAAAGAAGCGAGAAAAAAATACATTTCTTCAGGTGAAAGTAAATCAAAGATTTCTACCGTTAGTGTCAAATAGATCATACGCATCTTCTAAAACTTAAGACCATCCCTTTGGGTCAAAACGTCCACACACCAGGCAAGCACTGCTGGACTGTTCTACTCACAGGCTCTGGAGTGCTCCGGAAAGACAGGGATGAAAAACGTGTGCGCATGCGTGGCATGAGCCAGTTGATGTTGTCGTCGGCGAGTTGTTCGATCGTTTGATCAACGAAATGTCGGCGCAATTTAAACTGTGTATTCGTGGATATATTTTGCCTTTCAGACTGGAATGTAAGGACGCTATTTGTAAATAACTTCTGTAAACTGAACTCGTCGACATGTTGAACGTATTATTTTTGGGAAATGTTTATTTGCTTGCTCAAGAGCCATCAACTTTCAGTACTCTGTAAGGAAACACTTTGCAAGCTTAATTTCTGAGTATAATTTATCTCTATTTTAGATAATAAGCTAAGATTCAAACTGATAGAAGGTAAATGATACCATGCTTTGGTAATAAATGTGAATCTCGAAGAAAAATGGAACTTTTTATCAAGGCGAAGCGAAAGCACACCCATCTTACACGGTGTTACATGAACCAACTGAAATCGCTGCAAAATTGACCCCATGCATAGCTACAGCTCAAGTTACAAATTGCGTTACATATCGCTTTAGCTGGAACTTAACATTCGTTTATAGTCCTAAGAGTGTATTGGAAATTAGTTATTTCGACATGATATGAGAGGAGCTCCTATGAATGCTGCCACTCTGCAAAAGCCACATGAAATTCATCGTTCTCGTGGGTGTGCTATCAAAAAAACAAATTCCTGGGAGAGGTGGAATAAGGACAATGGTGTTGGGACTCAAATGAAAACAGAAGCCGGAATTACTTCAGAATTAATGCTGACAGGGCGTTCAGGACCAATATGGGTATGGTCGATTATATTATTCAGTGCTTTAGGGCCTTTCAGAGGTTGTAGCACACCAAAGCTTTGAGGAGTTTAGTGTGATTGAATCATAGATCTTGTTACCTAGTGAGATTCCTTGAACAATTATCTGGTACACTCACGCCTGACTCAGTGGACTGCTTATTACAGAAATATCCACAATTGGATGAATTAAACAATTTGCTAAAACAAAAGGGTAATAAGTGTACATGAGTTGCTTCCTGTTCTGCCAAGAACTGTTAACTGTAAAATAGTGCTCAGAAAGAACCAGAAAGTGTCATTGCCATGTTGATGTGGTTGGATATTGACTGTTTTTTTTTTCTTTTTTAAGAAAGAAAAACTGTTAAAAAAATGCAATAGATTTATCTAGCATCCTTTGTGGCATTACCCTGTTAGAGCACTGGATTGTGTTGTGTAGGAGGTAGAGGGTTCGAGCCCCGGCCGGACCAATACTCGTGGTCTTAAAAATGACTGAGGAAAATTCGCTACCTTTCTCCAATATCAAGAAATGGATAGATATTCTAGTCTTCTCGGTTAAGGACAAATAAACAGTAAGCCCGTCTCCTGCAGGGTTAGGGGTAGGAGACATTAATTTCGCAGGCATGAGATTACTGTGTGTGGATGTCCTCTCCTGGGGTAGGATGGGTGGGTTGCTGTCTTGTGTTTCATACATGAGCCTCTGGCTCGGGCAATCTGGGTAACCATGCCTCGTGTATAGACAATAAACTTGATTGATTGATTGATTGTGTAAAAGAATGGAATCCCAAATAAAAGGGTTCTAAAATCTCCACTAAAATAGTGGGTTAATAAGAGGAAAGGAAGTGTGGGGATGGCAAGTGTTGAAAGTGTGAAATGATGAAAATAAAATGTTAGTAGTTCAATAGAGAATTTGCACTGAGAGACCTACAAACTGCAAGGCGGTTGTCAGTAGTAAGGCAGCATTAAAATAAAAACTATCATTAGTTCAATTGGGTACTAGCATTGAGGGGCCACACTTTTATTTTATTTTCTTCTATATCAACAAGGTATTCCTGTAGAAAGTGGGTCAAATTTTTCTTAACTTAATATAATTACACTGGAAATAAAATGAAAATGGAGAAATACAACCTAGAAAGACAAAAAGATACACAAGAAACGAAAAAAAAAAGGAAAATGAAAGATTTTCATCGTAAAGGACTCCATGAAGGAATCTTTAGTCTCTAGAAAATTGGAAAGCCCTTTTTGCTTGTTTTTTTCTTTTTTTTGAGGAATTTCTTTGACAAATTTGTTTATTCACTATTTTTATATTCAATTTGCATGGCAGCCACTTCAAGGCAGTACAAAAATTTATAATAATAAAAAAGGAAGGTTAAAATGAAATAAGATGAAATAGTCAGAATCAGAGGAAAAGGAATGAGGGAGATGAGTAACATGTTGGTTAGTATTAAAAGTAGGTGGTAAAAGGAATAGAAGAGGTCAGGTATATGGAGACAAAGAAATTTTTTTGAGTTAAAAAGAATTTTGAACTGACTATTTTGATTGATATGAAGGGGGATGGGAGTTTAGGATGGGTTGGTGTGAGTTGGTTTTGACTGACTATTGGGTTAAGGTAAGTGATTGATCAAAATTACTGGTATCTGTCTTCAATTTGAATGGTGATAATAACAGACACAAAAGTAAATTCCAAAATAATTTAGTAGTATGAAAACCCAACTAGTGTTTTGAAAACACAGTAAGTAATGGAACTACTGCAAGATATTGATGAGAGAAAAATTCCTTCTCTCCAATATTAGCTTAATTAAAATAGTGGAAGTTTACCTGTGTAAAATTAACAGTAATTTAGTAGTAAATGGTTTGAACCCGGGGGTAACATGTGAAGATGTAGTCTGATCGTCCGGGTGAGTGTAGTCCTGAGAAGGACTGTTGTCGGTGGCAGTGACTGACGTTTCGACAACCTGTGCGGAAGTCATCACTCACTTGACTCTGATGATGACTTCCGCACAGGTTGTCGAAACGTCAGTCACTGCCACCGACAACAGTCCTTCTCAGGACTACACTCACCCGGACGATCAGACTACATCTTCACATAACAGTAATTTGTTTTGCAATGATAGATATTTAACACTAGTTAAAAGATAAATGGCTTCTTGTTTCGAATTTTTCCAATCCAAGAGAGCCACTTTGCTAGATTAAAATCAATACAAAACCAAATGCATGATTTTGAGTCAACATAGTCCACAACTAAATCCATCTGTTATCGCCATAGCTCATTCACCTTCGGCACTTTAGTAAAATAATATTTCACAGGCGTTACACCACTTGCTCCCTGATTGATATCTCGCTTTCTTTCTTCCCTTTATGTCTAAAATTTCGAAAAGGCTTACAGGAATTACGTTTAATTCATTAGAATGTCGGTCGGAAAACGGCGATGAGAAGCGAGTATATTGCTTTTCGATCGTTCGACGATGATGTAAACAAACTGCAGTTTCTTCAGGCAAGTTCACAGCTCTTGCCAACCCAAGAAGCAGGGGCTTAGAAGTGCCGTAAAAAGCTTCTTTGCTGCTCCCTGTTTTACCGACGAACCAACATTTTGCATAAACGGACGAAAAAGTGATCAGGAAAAAGCCAACACGACACTGAACGTTGCCGCAAATTGAGCCAGTTCGCAACCGTATTGAAACTTTGAACAAAAGACCGTTTTTCGGCGCGAGAACAATTTTTTTACAATTTGTACACCCTCTCAATTTTTTTAAATTCTTTCTTCTTCTCAAAAATGAGAATTTAAAACGTTATCTTTTTAACAGCTTCCTTGTTGTTTAAACTCTTGTAACCGCTGTTCATTTCCCGCAAAATTTATTGAGTTCAACTAAGTGCGCGTCTGAGCCCGCGCTTCTTACCGTGGGTCTCTGGCGCATGCGCAGACGTTTTTTCATCCCGCGAAAAATATTCAACATGGCGATGGTAGTGTGAAACTCAGGAATAGAATTTGTGTACACGTACCAGCTTGAACTTTATTTAAACCAGTGAAAATGGTAAGGTCTCAGTCAAAAATCTAGGATTTACATTTGGAGGTAAATGAAATGTTTTTGTGGCCGAGGGTAGGAAGTATTAGGAAAGAAGATAAATTGGCTATGTGCTCTTGATCAGGTACAACCACTTAGTAAGCTTGCGGATATCATCCAAAATTTAAGTATTAACGCTTCCTTGAATTTTTTTTTCTCTCTTGAATCAAATTTAAATCGACTTTTAATACTTTGGCATCTCATTTAGATTATCGCTATTTGTGGGGTATATGCTTCTCAAACAACTTGTGACGGAAAAAAAAAACTTGTTAATTTATTAGACCTTGAAATGTTTTCCTCTTTTGCTTTCTAAGTCATGTTAATTGAGTTAAGCGAATTTAACGAGCTAAGCATCAACCAGTTCAAATTGAAAATCATTTGGTATTATACATTAAAAGTGTCCTTCAGAATCCTCCAAGTGAGCTGCAAGCTCACTTTTTTCTAATGACATGATTTGTGAGCAATAATGATCATAAAATAATCACCAGAAAACAAAACTTAGTCACTAGAAAAAAAAATCAATGTTTTTTTTTTTTGTGATTCATGTGACATCTTGGGTCTGGATACCTAGGTAGACAATCATTTGCAATCTATTATAAAGGGATAAGGAATATGTTAGGCAATGCTGAATGCAAAGGTTTATCTCCTTAAACATTAATCCGTTAACACTAAGTGATAAGAACATTATGTACACCTTGCTACATAGTCAGTGAACACAGGCCATCAAATTGTCAACATTGCAGCAAATTGAGTTGCCAAAATGTTTTTGCCATGGTGCCCAAAACAGTAACAACTTAAAGTTCTGTCTTGGCATAAACTTTTTCCTACTTCCTGTCATCTGTCTGTTCACAAAAATATTTGAATGGTGAAGAATTTTAAATTAAGCATTGGTATCAAAGGAATAATTACTCCTTAAGTAAAGAAACCTATTGTCCCACTTTCTATGCATTTCTCTGAAATAAGAGACTGCCAGATACCAATGTACGTAAAGAATTATTCCAACTTTCAAACAAGCATCCTTTCTTTGGTGATATCAGAAAGTTGTCTGTAGTTTCAGCCTTGAAAACATGATTTTGAATTTGATTTGAAAATAATCTGTACTTTATTACTAGTTAGGGGTCTCAGCCATGCCCCAAGCGTAATGCATCCAAATATCTGGTAAATTTGGACAAATTATTTGTTGTCTCCCTTATAAGTGAGTTGTATTAATTGAAAATTGTCCTTAAATTCTACTTATTACACTTTGTTCTCTTTTAAAAGAGTAGTATTTTCTTGTTATATAAGAAATTAATTTTGATTTCCATGAGATTCTAGTAAAACTTCCTTTAAACTTAACTGTTACACAGCCATTCATGTTACTTAAGTTGTGTTTTTGTTGTTCTGCAGCAATGATAGAAGAGTGTTCAGTCACTTCACCAACTTCTCGGAATATGCAGGAAGAGTTCCCAAAGAAGAATCAGTCCTCTTGTTCATTGTACACTGAAGAGGAACTTGAAGGTGTTAGTACTTCCAGTTCTCTGAAAAAACGTAATTCTGCTCGTTCCACTGAAATTGATTTTTCTGAAGTTAGTTCAACTTCTGAGAATACTTATCAAGGTCTAAGTACTTCAAGCAAAGGTATATGTATGGACTTGTATGAAGAAGATATTCCAAAGTCAAATTCTAATGTACCAGTTGTATTTAATGATGGGAATACTGATGAGAAACCTAAGAAGTTGTCACTTGTGGAATATGTGGACAGTGGAAATAATACTGAGGAAGACATGGTAAATTCAAGTGGACTAACCCAAGATAAATCTATAAAGACTAGAGTAGATAAGTCAAATCAAGATACTTCCAAGTTTCAGTGTAGCAGCATTGCAGAGGTTATCACATCAAATGAAACTCCCAGCAAGAATGAAACTTGTAGCAGTGGAGTTGCATTTGATGTCCTTCTTTCTGATGACAAAACATCACCTAAAGAAGGTGACTTGGATGTTAAATCTCTGCTTAATGACAGTCGTACAAAAAGGGACACAGCAAAGGAGGATGGTCAACTTTCTGCTTCAGATTCTAGTGACACTGAAAAGTCTTCTGACAGCAACAAGGCTGACTCCAAGAAATCTAAGAAAGACAGAGGCAAAAAGAAGGATAAGAAGAAAAAGAAAAAGAAACACAAGAAACAGAAGCAAGGGGTTGAAAGGGAAGCAGCACCTGGTAACAGAGGTACTCTACATGCAAGGGAAAAATACTTGTTTATGGCACATCCTTGTGTCTGTTTCCTTCTTTTTTTGTTTTTTAATATTCAAATATACTCTCATGTTTACTATTTTTTTAACTTTTCATTTTACATTCATGGTAACGTGTGCTTCATTAGGGTATATACACATACATACTACTTGTGCCTTACCATGTGAAGAGCAGTGCGTTAACAATGTCTTGGTGTATTCCTTTGTTTAATAAGAACTATGCAACCATGTGTATTTTTATTTTGAAGATGGTGATGAAAAGAAAGAGGGGAATGAAAGCACAACCCAAAGTAAAGGTAGAGGCAAAAGTAGGAGTCACAGTAGAAGCAAACCTGAAAGCCAAACAAAAAGCTCAGAAAAAAGCGAGAAGCCACTGGCTGTGAAGCAATCCAGAAGTAGAAGTAGAGAAAGATTTGCAAGGCATCATGGTCGCAGCAGGAGTAGATCACGTGAAAATGATAGAAAGTTGAAGCATCGTAGAGAGAGATCAAAAAGATCCAGAAGCTGTTCATCAAGTAAGAGACGTTCACCAGCAAGGATAAATAGACTCTCCAAATATCAGTCATCCAGGAGTAGATCTCGGAATAGAAGTAAGACACCATCAATGAAGAGGAGAGAAAGGAACCGGTCAAATTCCAGGACAAGATCATACAAAAGAGATTATCCTTCATCTAGAAAAAGGAAATTATCCCGAAGCCCTTCACCTCGTAAGCATAAAGATAACAGAAAAAGTAGATCAACCGAGAGACATTCCCATTCTTCAGAAAGAAAAGGTGCTCCTCCTGTGAAAAACAGGAGGTCCCATAATGATAAAAATAGTTTATCTCCAAGAAGATCAAAATCTCCAAATAGAAAGGATCATAAAAGCAGATCTTCACCCTCAAGAAAGCTGTCGCATCGCACCTCTTCAGCATCAGACAGTCTTGACTCAGGACACTTTACAAACATTCCTTTAACTCAGCTAAACAAACAAGATGATCCAGTGGCTGGCATAAAAGAAACAGAAAAAAAGATGCTAGGAGTAGAACTTGCAAAAGAATCCAGTGTTCCACCAAAATCTGAAGCAGATGTGCAGAAGCATCTCTCTCCTTCGGACAGTCCTCTGAAAGCATGGGAAGATGAATTTGATTTTGTTTTCACTGAGCGGCTGTCGCCCAAAGATGGAACTGAAAAGACTGTAGAAGATGTTCTTTTTGGAAAAGAAATAGCAGATTTTAAGACTCCTGACACCCTCAAAAGTAAAGCTACCAAAGAAAGGTAAATACTAGTTATCATAATGAAAAGAAAAACTAATCCTTATGGCAGGAAACTGCGTATACACTGTACATGTCATGGTGTAATTAGTGGGGGCTAATAGTTGCAGTTACATATGACTCATAATAGAAGATAAAGATATTAAATAATTAACATTTGGGAATTGACACTCTGAAACTGTGCAAACAACAGAAACCCTCTCACTATCAGGAAAGACCAAAATGCTCTTTTTGCTGTAAGTTTCAAATTATCATTTCTAAGCAGAAATAGAAATTTCCACTAGGATGTAGCTTCAACCCCAAGTATCTGAACTTAGTTCACAAGACAGCCACACTTAATTGCAGGCAGTGTAGATAATTGTTATTTTGGCCTTGGGTAGGAAGGCTACTTTTACGTTTTGCATAATTTTCAGTCTTCAGTCATGCTTTAATGGACTTAAAAACCTATTATTTTGTATTTCCTTGAAGTGTCAAAAGTAATAGCAGCAGAGTATCAATTGCTAAGGAAGCCAAAGAGGAAGCACATAATGAGGAAAAGAAAGAGTTGGAAGAGAAAAAAAGGCAGCAGTTTAAAGAACATAATTCTAAATCCAAGCAAGGAAATTCTAAGGTTGAAGATGCTGAGAACACTCCAAATGTGGTAAAGTTAGATGATAGCATTGGTGAAGTGAAAGTAGCAAAAAGCAATTGTGTAAAAACATGTAACACCAAAGGTGTCAAAAGGACTTCTGATGATAGCAGTGTAAATCAGGGGGCAGAAGAGCCTGGGAAATCAGCCTTCATGCCTTCAAAGTTTGAATCTATTCCATTCTTAGGGGACACTCCACCTGGTCCCATCCCAGAAATCAGAGAACCTCAACACCCAATAATCCCAGCTCCATCTCAGCTGGGGCTTTTGGGACCTCATCCAGGAGGTAGGGGTCTCTTACCAACCCCTCCATTTCCTGCCCACCCTTGGGCGGGCCCCAATAGTATAGTGCATGGTGTTGGTCTTAACATACCTAAGGGTTCTCAAGGCCTTTTACCTACACCTGGGACACTTGCCAACCTGCCCTCTAAGGATGGTGACATGGATAAGACAAGGAAAAACTTAAGTTCCAGTCCAATGGACATGGAGATGTCATCACCAGAAGGGGACATCATTGACAAACTTAATGAAGAATTCTGGAGACAGCAGCAACAGCAAAATCAAGACAATGCAAAGGTCACAGACCTTGAGGGGAAAGGACAAATGTCAGTAGACTCTACTGTGAATGACCAATACTTGTTTGATGAACCATATGAGCCTGAAACTGGTATTTTGATCTGTGAAGAATTTGAAGAGGATTTAGACAGCATAACTGATCCCATTGAAAGGAAGAAACAAGAGAAAAAGCAGCAAAAAGAGAAAACTAAAGTGCAGGTATGATGACTTTAAAGGTCCAAAATGAACACTTTTCTTAATGGCTTTAACCCTTTGAATCCTGGGAGCGAGTAGCATCTATTTTCTCCTTACAATTTTCACCCTGAATCAAACATCTAGGACACAACAGTAGATTAGGAAATTATTACAACTAAAAAAAGCTTTTGATTGTCAAGCAAAAGTATTTATTCTCCTTGACAACACCATTAGAATTGTATAAAGAACAGTATGGAGAATATGCCTAACTATATTAGGGTTTAAAGGGTTAGTTCTCTCAGAGAGTGGTGAAAGTAATGCAACCAATCCATCAATCAATTCAAAGCCAGAGTTCTTCCCCACCCCCTGTGCAGCCCCCTCCCCTCCCTTCCCCTTGGCATTTGAGCCTTTCATTTTTATTAACTCTCTAACCTTTCCTCTGGGAAGGTAACATTTATGATACCCATGCCATGATCGGGACTCAAGCTTTTAGCCATAGATTAACTTTACTCTTCATCCCCTCCACTCTGGATCATAAATTTGAACCTACAAAGTGATAGGAAAACTTTTTAAATTGAAGTGGTAGTCTTTTGCTCAGCAAACATCCCACCCATGGAGAGAAGCAGTGCTCCAAGTCCACTTGGGCAGTAAGACTTAACCGTACTCTTAATATCATCTTGTTACTCTCGTAGGAGGTGATAGACAGGCTCCATCGCCAGGCCAGAGTGGAGGAAGAAGTGAAACATGTTCTCAAAGCATACTATAAACACAAGGACATTAGCAAAGAACAGTATAAGAGTGTTCTCAGAAGAGCTGTTCCACAGGTTTGTTACAGACATTTGAACTTATAATTTGGCAATACCTCTCCAAAAATGTCTGTTGACAATAGGTAATTATCAGTGAACATTATTTGAATGTGAGATTGTTGAAGCTCGAAATCCAGCAAACAAGTTGAAGGTTCAATGGTGGCCCAACAGTGAGTGTGTGACTCCACATGGATAGATTCATGCATAGCCGCGCTTAGATCATATGTGATGGAAGCGTTCTTGAGCAAGAGACGATTTTATATCTACCGTGATATAATGTACTAAATTAGACACGTATTGGATTGGTTCTTGCTTGTGATCCATTGGAGGACAGGCGCATAGATGGCGTCACCATCAACATCATTCTGCTTCTTTATTGTTTGAAATAGATCGACTTCATTTCATTCACTTCTCCTACAGTAGCTTCAATGTAGAGAAAAACAAACGTTTTTACTAAATCCTCTGAATCATGTTTTTCCGGTTTCTTTTTAGATCACAAACTCTAGCAGTGCCATTGACCCGGAGAGAATCAGATCATTTGTGAAAAAGTGCATAGCAAAGATGAAGAAAAAGCGCCTTGATTCTTAATTTGCGTCCGGCACAAACAGTTGTTTTTTTTGTTTTTTTTTTTTGCAGCAAATGTTCTTTTATTGGATGTATTGGCTATTACCGTGCCATCTTTTTCCCAAAAATACAGTTAGTGCTTTCTAAGAAGGTCAAAATAAAAATTATATTCAAAAGGAAAGAGGATGGAGGAATATTAACATGAATTGCTTATGCGATACTTCGTAATTCATGCTCAATTTTTCAACATAAACGCGACTTTTTTCTCGTGCGAATCAAACAAAGCAACTAAAGGATGGGCTCTTTTTAATGATGTGTCTCAATGATTGTTTCCTCGCTAAGTTTAGAACATTCCTTAGCTAGCCACATTGTATTGTACAGTGGTTGCCTTTAGATGAAGCCGGCATTGTAGCGTGACATTGTGTTGACGGTAGTTTTCCTAAAGTTATCTTTCTTAACCAATGATTGCTCGTATAAAACTGTGTCTGTGAGATGTAAATGTTTTTTTCCATTCTCAATTTCGTCAAGTTGGTTGTATTTCGGTTCTATAATTATGTACAACTTGGCAGTTTCAAAACTTATGGAAGGAAGCTGGACAATACTTCACAACAATAATAATAAAAAAAAAACGTAAAGGGTTTGTAAAGCTGACGTTTTCAGCGTTAACCCTTGGCTTCAGCTCACTGATTGACTGTGCTTCTATTATAGCGGGGAGGTGAAGGAAGACGTGCGAGGAACGCGTTATTCACGCAAGCTGAAAGAACTACCTTCCCCTTTGGACATCTTGACGTTACTAATTGCTACGTAAGCAGTGTACCCAATCAAAATGAGGCGATGGTAAATTTAGGCGAGCAGCGCCCTTTCCTAGCACCTGGCTAACTTTCAGTTTTCATCTGAGTCTCAAAAATTTCATCCTCCTATAAGTTGGATAAAGTAACGATGGAGAAGGATGTAGCCTACCTAACAAATCAGTCGGCACTAGCCGCGGTACTCAACCCAAAACCAAAATAGATTGTACAAGGACAGAGCAATTAAAAAGAATGAGCGGCAGAACTGCCGCTCGTCCTTTGAAATCGTCGTTTGAACTGCCGGGAGCGAGGTTTGTGAAAAATAGGGAGGTTGCTTAAGATGATCAGTGCCTAGATCAGAGATCCCTTATAAATTTGGAGTTGATTCAAATCTTTTCTTCCTCTTTTCTTTGAGAACGAAACAGTAATAATATTTAAAAAGAAATGAATCCGACTAAGCGCGGGTTTTTTTTTTTTTTTAATGCTCTTTTCCCTTTTGAATCTCAGGAGAAGTTAGCTAGTATAGGTGTCGAAACATCGCCTTTTAGTTTTCTTCATCAAATCAGTTAAGTTTTTTCTCTCTCTTCATTTTTGCTTTGCTTTCTCCAGCCATTCCCTCTCCCATCCCTTTAGTTACTGCCTCCGTACCATCTGTTTATGTGTTCAGCGGTTTCACTCGGGGAAAGTGGCTTCACAAGATGGCGGACGTGAACAATGCTATGTGCGATGTTTTCTGCAATGATTCTACCTAAAGAGCTTCGCAAAACTACATGTTGAGGTAGTTATAAACCATTCGCCTCACTATGTTTACATAATGTTTTGAATCCGCGAGGTTGTAGAGCCTTGACGCCGTAAATGAGTTTTATTCTTAGCCCACATGACACATGTTCGATGGTTTTAAAATCTTGAGCTTTAAGTAGTTTTGTTTAAATAAGTTCTCCGCACCGGGTGAGTGTAGTGGCTTTAAGAATTTCATTTGTAGGAAAATCGTGATGTAGCTTATGCTTAGATGTCTCAGCTGATAGGGGCATGTTTCGCTGGTACACGCAGATTCGTGCCCGCTTATTGTAGTTCGATGTGCCAGATGAAAATTATGTTATGTAATGTTTAAAATATTTTCATGGTTGATTGCTAAGTGTACCTCGAAACTGGATTCAAATTTCACTGACTTGGTTCACGTATTTCTGCTGCAAAATAGTTGTGTCGTTTAAATTTAACAGTATTACGCCGACTGATAAGTTTTCTCTTAAAAAGTCTTTCTTGACTTTCGTCAAACATGTCCATCACTGCCTCTGTGAAACCCCATTAGTTGAAGATTTTACACGAAATATATTTGGCAAAGCTTCTTACATATTACTTCTAATTACTCGTATTTTATTATTCTTTGGAAATAAATCATATCAAGATGCAATGTATAGCCAAGTTATGAATTTCCTATTGACCAAACTTAATCTATCTGGACTTTTAACGCTGTATGATAGAAGAGAGGCAATCGCGACAAAGTTGTTCAATGAAATATGTGCAAATCAATCTCACAGTCTTCATAAATTACTTCCAAGCAAATACCAACTTGGCTACTATCTGAGAGAACAAAGAACATTCCTCCGAGGTGTAAAACTGAAGGGTGCGAGAATAGTTTTCTTTTAAGTTACGTTTATTGTAGGTGATAATTATGTTATTTTGTTTCTTATTTTACATAGGAATTCAACACATGCTTGTGAATTTGTCATTCTGTAACATTTTTGATGAGTAAATTAACTAATTAGTTGTAATTTAGTAAGTTAGAAATTTTTCATTTGTAAACCTTATTGCAATTCAGCTCTTGGCTGCAAGTTTTTTAAGGTGAATAAACTATCTATCTATCTATCTATCTATCTATCTAATTCGGTCAAGGTAGCTAGATCTTGGTCTTTTTCTCTTTCATCAAATCACTTCAAATTTTTCTTGTAAGTGCAAACATACAATAAAAAAATAATTCCTTTCTAATTACCATGAGCAAAGCTGTTCAATTGAAAGTGAACAGTTACCCTATGCATACTATTTTGAGTGTTTATCCTTGTGGACATATCAAAAAGGTATGGAAATTTGTTTTGATGGGGTCATAATTAAATAAGATACCTTTTCCTGTTTTAGAAACAGAATGGCAGCTCTTCCTGACAGTAATAGTAGTGATGGAGCTGATGAAGATTTTGAAGGTTTCATTGTCAGTCCTGAAGAAAAGGCAAGTTACAGAGTATGGTCAAGGAAAAGGAGAGCTTCAAATGCCTTTGATAGTGACTCTGAAAGTGAAGATGATGATGACAAGGAAGATGAAGAAGAGGATGGAGAAGGTGAGGAAGAATGTGAAGGTCTGTTTCAATGGCAAACTGGGGTGGCATGCTTGCATAGCTGCCAAGGTGCATCCCTTCTTGTGTATGAATGAATGAATACCCTTATTTAAGTGTCAAACTGAAGTAGCAGTACGGAACCACTACATGGGGACACTATGAATAAATTAAAATCAAAAATTAAAATTCATAACACTATTTACAATTGATAAAACAAGTACATTGTAGATATTATTATTTACCTGTGCATAGACTTAATAAAATACTTAA